GCCCTGCCTCGCAGCTGTCTCCGGGACTCCCCGTCCCTTCCCCTCCCCCCACCTGTCTCCGCACCTGCATGACACCCTGTCCCTTCTCCGCCCCTGCATACTGGCGGTGCTTGCACCCCTGGCGCACCGCCTGCCTTCCTCTTCCCTCCGCCATCTCCTAGATGTCTTTGTACCTCTGGGACACCCCGTCCCTCTTTCTCCCTTGCAGCTCTGCACCTACAGGACACCCTGTCCCCCCCCCCCCCTATTTCCTGTCCCTTTGCTTCTGGGGTACCCCTTCCCTCCCCCCCCCCCCCATATTGGCTGTCTCTGTGCATCTGGGTTACCTCATCCCTTCCCCCTCAGCTGTCTCTGCATCTCTGGGACACCCCCTGCATTCCCCCTGCCTCCCAGGCATACAGTTGGGACACCCTGTCCCTTCCACCCCCCCTCAACTGTGTCTGGCCCCAGGGATACCCTATCCTTTCACCCTCTCCCAGGCTATCTCTGCACCCCTGGGATGCCCTGTCCCTTTGCCCCTTTGACTGTCTCTGCCCTTCTTGGTCTCTTTCCCCCTGCCCCATATCAGCTGTCTCTGCATCTCCACGACACCCCATCCCTCCCCCACCCCGGCTGTCTCTGCACCTCTGCCACCTCTCACCAGAGCCTCTTGGGTGTCCATCTGCTCCGTGCCCTCACTCCTGAGACTGGCATCTCTAGGCATGTTGGACCATTGCCACCGCCACCAGGCACTGGGCTTGGTGATGCTCCCCTTTTCAGACCGTCTGCATCCTCATCCATGTTGGCCAAAAAGGCCCCCGGTGGCCTAAGGAAGCTTCCTTTGTGACCCCAAGCCTTTCCCCACACAGCCTCCATGGGAGCCCCCTGACAGATGCTGGCTTAGCCCTCCTTAACCCAGCGCTCTCCATCCATCCCTCGCTGGTGGCTCTGGACTTGGGAGACTGCATGCTGGGCGACGAGGGCATCAACCTCATCTGTGGGCTCCTGCCCCCTGACGGGGCCAAGTCAGGTAAGAAGAAGGGGCTGCGGGGCATGCCGTGTCCAGTGTAACTCATGGGTAATGCAAGTCATGCTGCTCAGAGCCAGGCTGTTGTTCCTTCCCTCTCACACTCTCGGGGAGCAGGTTATAATGTTTCTCTCTCTAGTGAGTTTCCTCTGTCCCCCAGGCATAATCAGGGTGAAACAGCCCCTTGGTAGAGAAGCTGCTCCCACCGGGTGAGGGTCCTGTATTCCCCTGTGTCGTTCTGTGGAGCCTGGAGTTTGTCCAGTAGACCACAGATTGTGGCATGGTGGATGGGGAGGCCGGTTGGTTTTGCCTCATGATGGGATAGTTTGTTTGGGGAGACAGGGCTTGCAGTTAAGATTTGTCTTGCACTCATGCCATCTAGGCTGCGATCAGTGCATTGACAATGAATGCCAGTGCATCCACACTGCTTCCCCTGGCCCTTGCCCCAGAACTGGGAGGCACAGCATATGGTCTCTGTGAGAAATGATCAGTGAAGGATCTCGCATGGGGGTTTTACTGTCTCCTGGCCTGGCTGAATAAGCTCCAAGGCCCCAATCCTTGCGAGTGATGTCTGAGGCCAGTGGGCTTTTTAACCAGGATATGGCTCTCACTGAGTTGGCAGAGAGTGCCCTCTAGTGAACCGTGGTCTCTGCTGTCTCACCCTGGCACCTGGAATGGCTGCTGATCATCTGTATGCTTACGATATGCACGACTGCCACCACCACACCTTGCTCCACAACTTGTCCTCTTCTGAACACAGGCATCAGTGCTTACCTTCCCCTCTCCCCTCTCTCTCACCTGCAGCCCCCCCAACCCCGGGCCTCAGGACCTGCTTTCTCCGTTATCACTTATCCGTATTGTCCATTGCCTCCACTTAGTGAGACCTACTCCTGTTTTGATTCTGTCATATTTGCTGTTTGGGATAAGCAGGTGCCAGGTTGAAGGCAGCATGTGGTCAGGCAGCCATGTTTGTTGTGGGCAAGTTAAGGGACTGGGCTGCACATGGTGTTTAAGCAGATAAATGGATGTAGTTATTATGCAAATCACATCCCTTAGCCATTCAAAATGGAATGAATTGCATAATTTGAAACCCTGCCATTTCCCTGCTCTCTGATAGGCTGGTCTGGTTTCTCTCCAGGAGGTTTGGTTGAGCTGCCTGGCCCCTTAAGGTGTTATCTGGCTTCTCTCTTTTCTTCAGGCCTTAAGGAGTTAACACTGAGTGCAAACCCGGGTGTCACAGCCAAAGGCTGGGGTCGCCTGGCCATTGCAGTGGCTCACAGCTCCCAGTTGCGAGTGTTGAACCTGGACTACAACCCTTTGGGTGAGCTGGGGAGGGTAGGCATGTGGAAGAACTACTAGAGGATGGGGCTGGGGTGGGTTCGCTGCTGCTGAATGTGCCCATCTCACAGCTTCAGACCTAGCACTGGCAGGGCAGGGCAGTGAGGGGAGGAATCCACTCCCTATGGCCCTTTAGTCCTCTGTGCTGGGAGTAGTGGGTCCCACTTATGGTGATCTTGTGTGATGAGGACACATCCTTCTAAGAAATACACTGAGGCCCACTAACTATGTTTCACAGGGACTTGTCAGCTGCGGGAACCGTCCTGGGCTCTGTCCCTGCCCCTGGCCATGTGGGTTTTTTTGTGTTCTCCCCCAGCTCCAGTGTTGCCTGCCCCCGGCTCCCCCCATTCCCAGTCCCTTAAGGCCTCAGTCATTGGCCTGGCAAGGGAAGGTGCCCACACCCAGCTTTCCTTCCCCAGAGAATAGCAAGGAGAAGAGATTGGCAGTGGTTGCTATAGAAACTGAGTCTTCTTCAGCATAGGCTGCAGGGTAGGCAGCTGGCAAAGCAAAGTCCAGGCCAGGCAAGACCAAATTTGGGATAGCAGAACCTGGGCTGCAGCCTTAGATGCACCATGGAGCCCAAAAGTCCCTGACCTGGGAATTTTGTCTTGAATTCGGAGAAAAAAATCAGTTCCATATCATCCAATCTTCTGCTCACAGTGCCCCTGTGGCATCAGGCAGCATCCTGCCACATCTGTGGATAGGCAGAGCTAAGTAGCCCAGCGTTTCTCTATCCATGGGTTGCAACCCAAAAGTGGGTCGCAGGAATATATGAAAGGGTCATGAATAAACTTTTAAAAGGGATCAACAAATTTAAAAAATGGATTCTCCTTTAAAGGATGAAAATGTAGGAAACCGTGGCTTTTCTCTTGCAGGCTGACACAACTCCAGCCTGCAAGGGGTTGCTTGGGGTCCCCCGGCCCCACAGACCCACCCAGTGCTCCACACAATGGGGATCTGGAGGCCAGGAGGAGTGGGTCAGGAGTGAGGGGCACTGGGTCAGGACTGGCCATCGAGTTTACAGATGGGTCCTGGTACAAGAAAGGTTAAGAACCACTGAACTAGCCTACCAACATCACCACATAAAGGCAGCTCTGCTTACTGGAAATGGAAGTGGTGCAAACTCCTTCTGCAGAGCTGCCTTTGTATGACAGTGTTGGTAGGTTAGCTCTGCCTCTCCACAGATGTGGCAGGAAGCTGCCTGGTGCTGCATGGGCACTGTGAAAAGATTGGATGATATGGAACTGATTTTTTCCAAATTCAGGACAAGTCCCAGGGTAGGAATGTCTGGGAGACTCTGGCTCACAGTCTCAAACTTTAGAAGTGTTCTGGAAAATTCAGGACAATTAGTCACTTCAGGGGCTGCTTCTTGTGACCCAGGAAAGCAAGTCACGCAGGGTTTTTTTGCCCTATACTGCCCAGGATGCCAGGCCAGGCCTACTTTTTCTGGTCTGTCCTATCAAGCTGGGTGCTGTCTATTTTTGTGGTGAGACCCTCTGGCACAGGAGTTGATAAAGCCCCTTCTTCTAACAAAAGTCAGGGAAAATCCCATCACTGGTACAGGCACCAGCAATTTGCTATGGCCAGCCCTGCTGCATCTCTGGGGATTTTTCAGGAAAATGCTTTGGTATTCATCCTCTCTACTTCCAACCCTGCTGGAAAAGAAGCAAGCCCATGCTAAGGGCTGGGAACAAGGATTCCTGAGTTTTATGTCTAGCTCTGGGAAGAAACGGTTTAATGGTAAGAGCAGAACCCTAGGAGCCAGGAGTCCTGGGTTCTTGTTCTGACTGGTACATGCTTCCTTCTCATTTGTAAGCCAGCTACATTCCCATAGGGGAAACTCAAGCACAGAGGTAGGAGGCTCTCAGACCCTTGGTGAGGTGGCTGGAAGGCGCTATGGATGAGGCAAGTTTTCTTGCAAGGGAAACTATTCCACTGTGTTCCTTGTCTGTCTCTCTTGGATGTGCCCAGCCGTTCCCACAGTCAGCAGTCAGTCCCCACCTTTGTCTCTCTTTGCAACTAGCAGCCTTTCATTTCTTCCTCCCAGGGGTCCTTGGCACCTGGAGCTTGGCTGGCAGTGTTGGTAGGGGGGGTTCCCAGAAGGCATTCCCAGGGTATCTCTAGCCCAAGGGCATGTGTGATCTGAATTGCGTGAAGCCAGGCACTGCTGAGTTCCCTGACTTCCTTCTCTTCCAGGTGACCAGGTAGCAGGGATGTTGGCTGTCGCTGTGGCCTCCAGTCGTACCCTGGAGGTCCTGGACTTGGAAGGAACAGGGCTTACCAATCAGTCAGCACAGGTAAGGAGTGCCTGGTACTGATCTAGCATCACTGCCACCTCAGGAGCATGGGCCTCAGCCATCTGTAGAATCCCCAGCCCCTGCCTCAGCCTCCTCCCCCATCCCAGGGATCTCTGCACCCCCTGCCCATCCCCTTCTTATAGCAGCCTCTTCCGCTATGTGTGCTGATGTCCGCCTGTTCCTTCTGTTGACCCAAGGCTCTCAGACACTGGAGGTCCTGGGCTGGCCTCAGCCCAAGGTTCTTGTTCCTGATTCCCCTGCTCTGGCCTCAAGCAAATTGGAATAAGCAAGTCATTCTGGTTTCTCTGGTTCTCAGAAAAAAGTGAGGGGAGGAGGGGAAGATGCAGGAACTAGCTTTATAACTAGGGCAGCGGTTCAGTGTTTAGGTGTGTGTGTGTGTAGGGGTGGGAGTAGAGCTTGAGGTTAGGGTTTTGTAGCTTATGGCCTGGGTGAAATCCCCTGCAGTCTCTTCCCTGAGAACCTTGGCTCATGGCAGTGAAATTTGCCATTCTGGATCTCCTCTGACTTTGTTTACATGGGTCATGCCTGGAGGCGGCAGGGGAGCTAGCAGGTGTGCAGGAGTAACTCTTTCTTTGGGTATAGCCCTTGTGCAGAGAGCTCAGAGCCAGTGAAGGGTGGAACTAAAATGTGCTGGCAGGGGTATGTAGATGGTAGCTCTAACTTCCTCCCTCACCAGTCTGTCTGTGCTGCTTGTCCACCTGCTTCTGATTTTTGTTCTGGTCAGACCCTGCTGGACATGGTGGAGAATTACCCAACAGCCCTGCGCACACTCATTCTGGCAGAGAACAACATCAGCCCCGAACTGCAGCAACAGATCTCTGACCTGCTCTCCGAGGGTGAGGAAGAGGAGGAGAATGAAGCTCGGGAAGTTACAGCCAGAGAAAAGAACCCCTGGATTTGCCAGAACAGTAAGATTTCTGGGGGCCTGGGGAGGTTGGAGGGGAGGCTGGACAGGATGGGGCAAGACAGGAGGGAATCAGGTCTCTATGATGTTCTCTGGGCAAATGAACATCTTGCTGTGGGGCTGGTACAGGGAAGGAGGCCCAGCTCTCTGTGGGCTGGAATTCAAACAACCTCAAGGTGGGATCTGCAAGTTAAGCAGCCATGATAAGCCATTGCTCAGCTTGGGATCCTCTAAGAACAACCCAGATGCTTCCAGATGTGGAGGTGAGCCATAGTTGGCTCTTCCTTGCACCAGTGTACCAGGACAATGCTATTGGTGTGGAGACGGGGCAACATGGGCATGAACCTCTTTCAGTAAAGACTTTAAACTGGCACAGGCATTAAAGATCTTGTGGGCTTTTCATAAGTACTGGGGTGTTCCCTCTGGTGTCGTGGCCAGTGTTGAAGTTCACCATTCCATTCTGCTTCACTCAGTTCACCTACAGGTTACATGTGTCTTCATTGCTTCCTGACTTAAGCCTCATGATGATTCACAGGTGCCATGTTGTGTTGGTGGAGTGCTTGTAGGTGAAGCACAGGGATGTCACTGAGCTGCCTGTGAGCATTATATTGATGTTTGATAGGACTCCACCAGGGCTAACAGGGAGAAAGGCCAACAGAGGATCGATCTTAATCCTGCTGGTTTTTGGTTTAAACCAGTCTCCCAAACTGTCCGGTCCAATAGGAACAAGTCCAGCTGTTGACAATGCACCAAACAAGTCTAGGCTGCGATGACAAAGCAGCACAAAGACTTGAGAGCGGCACCTAGATCTGGCCAAATTTTTATCAACGACTTCCTTCCCTTCCATTCCTCCCCAGTTCTAATGTGTAAACAGCACACAAGTTAACTGGTTACAGCATGTCAAAAAATCTGCACCCTGTTGCATCCCAGCCACCAGTGATGCAACCTCCTGCTGATACCTGAGTCCTGCTCAAACCAGCTAATTTGTAGACCCCACCCTCCAAATTCCACTGCCCAAAGCTGGACCCCAGTGCTTCCTAGTTCAGCTGCTCTGCAAAAATCTGTCTCCACCACCTGAGGAGAACAGTATTTTCTGGCTGGGGGACAGCCAGATCTTCCAGTAACTCATCCCTAAAGGGGCTCTGTCACTTGGATGAGTCTGAGGAGCAGTCTTGGTGCCAGTGACAGGCTGTTGCTTGGTGTGGTCACATACTGGCCAGTGCTACCAAGAGCAGCCAGGAAGGGGTGATGCAACAGCCTATTAGCAGCTTTCTGACATCACCTCCCTCTTTAAAACTCAACAAGGAGTATAGTTATCCACCCTCCAGCACAAAAATAGAGAGCTTCTAGGGATCAGCTTAGACAGAGAGGTACATAATTGCAATTAAATGGCCACTTGTAGCCTGACAGCACTGTTATTGTCAGGCCTGTATCTCCTCTGCACCCCTGCAACTCCAGCCCCAGCACAGTAGGGTGGAATCTAGCAGGAAAGGCTTCAACCCACACAGCCTCAGTGTGGGCAGAGGCTGAAAGCAGTGGGCTTGCCCAGGTATCCCTGCAGGTTTAATTTCATAAACAGAACACATCTCACTTGTGACAGTGAGTACTAGGGGAAGAACCCAGCTTGGTGTCAGATCCTTGGAAGAGGTTTTGGGCTGGCTATTCCCTCATAACTTGAACCCACTGAATTGTTCAGAGACAGTAATTCTGGATCTCCACTGTGATGCTGGTACAGGCATGTTAAGTGCTCTACTCTGTTGTGTTAGACAGATAGCAGGGGCCTAGTCAGCTCCCCACCTCAAAATCCTCTCATCAGTTTCTGGCTCCTTCCATATCAGATTCAGGCATCATTTTTCCTTCCTCAACTCTGCACCTGGCAAGAGGACCCAAACTCTTCTTCAGCCCAAACATCTCACAGTCTTACTTCCATCTGCTCTGCAGATTCCAGCTCCCAGATGGTCTTGATGACATCAGGTCTTGGCGACAGTCTATTAGCAGAGACGGAGATGTGACCTGTGCTGAGCAAAGCAGCCTCCCTATACGTGTGTGGGTTGTGTGCAATGCGTGTGTGTGTGTGTGTGTGTGTGTGTGTGTGTGCGCGCGCTTGTGTGCGCCACATGCGCCCTGCATGCACAAGCCCACATGCATCCACCAGGCCTGTCTGCCCCAGCTGCACATCCGCACAATCCTCAGCCCAGCAACGCCACCTTTGGACTCGAAAATTTTGGGTCCTGGTGTAAGTGAACCTCGCCACGAGTCTCTTGTCACGTGCCCCATCAGCTGCTTGTGATTGTCCACTTGCTGCATGTTTCGATCTTGTTTCCCCTCCTGACTGTACATTCCTGGCCCACATGCTAGAGGTTGTATTTATTCAGATGTGTATATCAGATGGTCTTTCTATTGCTTGTACTAGTGTCTTGATGAGAGTTTTATAAAAGTCACAGACATGGCACAGCTTTCTGCTGCAAGGGAGTCTGTCATTCCTACTCCAACTCAGAGGGAAGAGCTCTGAACAGACTGAAAGAAGGAAGGGTGAGACCCTGAAATGTAGCCAGGTTTTCCAAAGCATAACAGTACCATGGGGCTCCTGGGCTACCTGCAGCCACATGACCAGCCCTCCACTGACTATCTCCAGCTGATGAAAACTGCAGGCCAGAGTGGTGGCAAAGGGTCCAGGATGCATCTGTGGAAGGACAGGAGGCCCCAAGCCTCCAGCATTTCGTGTCTGGAATGTACTTTTATTTAGAGAAAAAGGTAAGACAGGAGCAAATGTCAGGCCTGGGCTGCTGCTGTGCTCCCATATGTTCACAAAGCCAGCTGAGGGGGTATGTCAGAGCAGATACCCCATGGCCATCTACAGTTCCATCTCCATTCCTGTAGCCCAGAACCAAAGTTCATGGTTCTTTCCTTGATGTAAAGAACATCACAGCCAGTGCACTTATGGATTAGGTACTAGTGTATGCTCAAGGGCCTTCGTGCATCAAAGGCCTCTCTGCTGCTGTATGAGCAGAGCCTGCCCCCCTCCCCACTCCTACTGCCTACAGCACATCTCCAACGGGGAACAAGCTGTGTGCCAGAACCCTGGAAAGTGCCATCTTCCTGGTAGGAATCCAAGTACCAAAACCTTAGCTTGATGGAACTGGACTTAACCCTTTCAAGCTGGAGTCCTGCCTCTAGCCCATGGAGGGAGGAGGCCTGACCTTTGTGAGACAGCTGTAGAGTTGGCCATAGAGATGGGGAGGGCTGCAGGCAGTTAAGGACATCTCAGTAAGGGGCACGCTGCCCTTGCCTTAGGGCTGCTGCTGAGTGTGAGAAGAGGATTCAGTAGGGGATTCTCTGGTCCAGCTCTACCAGTTCCCCTGTGTGGGGCTGAAGGACATTTTGCTGTTGAAGCTGCCATGCATCAGCTGAAACTGCCAAGGGGCAGGACCTCTGTGACAGCTGGTTTATGCCATTGTAGGAGTCCATTCTGCCTGCCTTAGACTTTACTTGGGAGCCTCATAGTTTCATAGTTGGTAGGGTCAGAAGGGACCTAAGCAGATCATCAAGTGCAACCCCCTGCCACGGGCAGCAAAGGATGCTGGGGTCAAACGACCCCTGCTAGGTGGTTGTTTAGCCTCCTTTTGAAGGCCTCCA